AGGTCTTCCGTGAAGATCTGGAAGTAATCTTGGAGTCTGCTCTTGATAAAAGATCGTTGACCCTATGTAACAACTCGACGATACTTTTCTGAGTTCGCCAGATCACCTGTGGTCTCTCTTATCTATACCTCATTTCTCGATTTTAAATTCCCATATCGCGATATTTTCATTAAATATTTTTAAAAATTGTAGCTAAGAATCTACATCCGGAGTCTCTCTTGGCCAAATCTAGACGTCTTACTTCGCCTATCTTACCGGCAATGGCGAAACAATGGTTACAATTGACGCATCTTTACGTAGGTTTTATCATACATGTGCACATTAATCTAGGAAAATGAATATAAAAAAGAATTTTTTAAAATAACGGGGGAATTAGAAATTTTAGCACTTGTAAAGGCTAAGCACTATTTTCCAATTTTAGGTGAAGTAATTTGAATAGTTTTGTATTGTTTGGTTCAGGTTTGGCTTCATAAAATGGTTCCAGACCTGTGGGACTCTAAGTAATTATATCTATTCGATAGAAATAATCCCTTGAATCAATATTAAAATAAAAACATAAATCCTCCAGGGAAAAGATTCTTTTAAAAATATTTTTATTTAAAATATCTCGAGCTTTCGGGCAAGTAAGCCCTTCTACGGGAGAAGCTATTTTACATCCTTAAAATACGCCAATAAAATAATATTTAAACTTAAATAAAGTATTTTAGTTGTTTACATTTGTTTTGAGGCATAATCAACGAATATAATATAGCATATAAGCCCGCGTTGATTATGCCTCAAAACAAATGTAAACAACTAAAAGACTTTATTTAAGTTTAAATATTATTTTATTGGCGTATTTTAAGGATGTAAAATAGTTTCTCCCGTAGAAGGGCTTACTTGCCCGAAAGCTCGAGATATTTTAAATAAAAATATTTTTAAAAGAATCTTTTCCCTGGAGGATTTATGTTTTTATTTTAATAATTATATCTATAAAAATGAAATCCAAAATCGATGTTTGTTATCGCGTTGCGCAAAATCTACAGAATCAATCGTTATGAAATTTCGCCTGTAGGTAGCTGAAGATTTCGTATAACATATAGGCTATTCAAAATACTAAAAAGGTTAATGTGTCAAATTATATTGACAAACATTTTCAGTTTTTTTTTCTGATCAGGTTTTAGAGGAAAGAATGTTGTCTTCGCTTGTTAGTGAACCAATCTCTCACGCCTTCTCATTGGACGAATGTGGCCATGTCTGTATATAAGAGGGGACTAAGGGAATGCGAAGGGGGCCCAGAACGTGGAGAATTGGTGTGGAGACACGAAAAGTGTTTTTCTACGTGGTTTTTCCGTGTCTGTCTGTTCTCTTCGCATCCCAGTGTCACCCGAGTCCGATCCCTGCCAACGCTACAATAAAGATAAGTGCTGTTTTATTTTATTTAACAAATCGTGAGTTGTTTCTATCTCCTTTTTGTTGTAAGGGTTATACTCTTGAGTGTACCTTTTTCTGTGTTTAAGTTACTCTTATTTTAGGCCCTAGCTTATTTCATTTTTGTGTGTTAACCCGCAAAAGTACTAACCTTTGTCATTGGCGAGCCCTGCCAGGATTACTGGTGTTTGCACGGGTAAATTCCTGTAATTTTTACGTGCGTTTTTTTTCTTTGATTGAGTGGTTTATTATTATTATTATTGTACTCCATCATGTTTGTGAACTCAATGCTCAACTTGTCAGTGTTTAATGGGGTTAGTCTCGAGTCTTTCATTCGGGAAGTCGAGCTTAAATCTCGAGTAGGCAAATGGAATCCTGAGGTCAAGGCACTGCTTATGTTCGAGGCTCTATCCCCTGAAGTTAGGTTGAGCTTAGAGGAGATGGGTATCCGTAACGATAGCAGTTTCGAAAGTATTGTTAGTAAACTGAACATACTGTACCCTAAAAAAGCGCGTGGTATTAGGGAATGCCTTAAATTAATAGAAGGTCTTAAACAGAGAGTTGGGGAAAGTCCTATGGTTTTTAAAGAAAGATTCTTGGCCATTAGAGATAAAGTAGAGTACAGATTTGACGATAGTTTAGTTTTCGAAATTTTCCTCGAAAATGTACTCGAAAAGTATAGAGAGGCTATTGTTCGCAGTGAGGCTAAATCAATAGACAAAGTAGTCAGTGTCATGGCCACGGAGGATAGTGTAGAACACCGTTGCAGCTTTATGAAAGAGGTATGTTCAGTAGAAGGGGTTGAAGAAATAAATAGCATTAAGGGTGAGATGAAGATGCTTCTTGCCAGTGTAAACAGGATGAAGCACGAAAATGAGCAGTGTATTGAAGACCTTAGGGGTAAGATAGAAAAACTGACAAAATTGTTGGGCGAAATCAAGCTGAGTCCACCTGAGTGTAGGTTAGAACATATAGCTAGTGATTGCTCAAGACAGTCTTCTATGTTTGCCAACCGCAATACTCTTGACAATGCTGAGATAGTGAACATACGTTCATATGGCGGAGATCAGTATGGAATCTGCCAATAGTTAAGGTGAATATTAACGGCAATATGTGGCACCTGTTATATGATACAGGAAGCCAAGTCAGTATCATTGATTCTGAAAAGTGTAAGGTCTTGAAGGAGAATTGGGACGATGCACTTAAAACTTTACGTATAGTGTCAGTCACAGGCCACGAGCAGACACTTACACGTGTTAAAACCTGTAGAGTTGGTAACGAAAACGGGAGCGAGCTGGGAGAGATAAGATTATAGTTAATGTCACTCGGAGATAAAGGCTACGACGGGATTCTGGGAATCAATGATATAAGGAGATTGAATATCCAGTTGCCTCCCGCACGGGAACGTTGCAACATGATTTCCTTGAAACCAGAGGACCATGATTATGTAGACCTTAGCTGCATTGTCAGTGCACATAGACCAATGGTTTCAAGCTCCATAGATGAGAAATCAGTGAAGCGCATTGAAAACGGGGCTGTAAAGGTGCCACCTACTGAGTTTTACAGAAATTGTGAGTGTAGCTCTGGGTCTGTTAAGAGTTTTAGCAGGCCTACTTGGGCTGAGAGGTTAAGGGCGATGCGGAAAGCAAAGGAGACTGTCAAACAGTTTATGTCAGGTAATTCTACCAAAAAGCTTATGAATCCTAGGCCACCTTATACCAAAAGTTTCGACAGAGGAGATCTGGTAATGCTAGCTGTTCACGACTGAAGGTTACTCCAACGTCTATGGGCCTTTCCGTGTGGAAGCTAGGGTCTCCGATGATAACTTTAGAGTAAGAGGGGTCACCATGAACGATTTGAAAGTTGTACATGTCGATAGGATGAAAGCGTTTAGAAACTGACGTTAAGAAGAGTTTTTAGCTCTTGGACTTGAGAGAACTGAATGGAATTGGATCGTTCGGTTTCTCATCAAGCGAGCGTCTGTCAGTTCCCAAAGTCTCTACATATCATGCTCGGCCGGTCCCCAGATGAGAACCTATTGGTCCCCCATTAAACTCTGTCTAGTAAAGCATATTATATATGTGTGTGCTTGGAAATTATTCATGGTAACTCACGTAGTTTGCGCAGATTTTTGGTTATTTTCTTTTTGGGAGGAACAAGATGGAAGGCACCTGTATGGAACGACCTGGATGCCTACTTCTCCTCTCTTCAGTTTTTTTTTTGTATCTTTATAACATGGCTCCCGTGAGCTTTTTCCCACCCGACAGCGGGAGGTTTTCCTTACGGGACAATGAGAATGTTTGGGATATTGGTTAGTTCCTTTTTTTTTCTTTGGAAGGATACCTTTTGTCAAATTATATTGGCAAACATTTTCAGTTTTTTTTTTTCTGATCAGATTTTAGAGGAAAGAATGTTGTCTTCGTTTGTTAGTGAACCAATCTCTCACGCCTTCTCATTGGACGAATGTGGCCATGTCTGTATATAAGAGGGGACTAAGGGAATGCGAAGGGGGCCCAGAGCGTGGAGAATTGGTGTGGAGACACGAAAAGTGTTTTTCTACGTGGTTTTTCCGTGTCTGGCTGTTCTCTTCGCATCCCAGTGTCACCCGAGTCCGATCCCTGCCAACGCTACAATAAAGATGAGTGCTGTTTTATTTTATTTAACAAATCGTGAGTTGTTTTTATCTCCTTTTTGTTGTAAGGGTTGTACTATTGAGTGTACCTTTTTCTGTGTTTAAGTTACTCTTATTTTAGGCCCTAGCTTATTTCATTTTAGTCTGTTAACCCGCAAAAGTACTAACTTTTGTCAAATGTGCTTTTTTTTTTAAATGTAAAACCAAAAATTTATTTCCAGCCTTTTACCGCTTGGCGCAGCACTGGTCGCGACGATAAATGAATTTGATTGGTTAATAATGTTACACATAGTTTGTTTACACGAAGAATGTTTGTTGTGTAGTGGAAGGTGTTCAATTTGTGGTAGATTTTGAAAGGTTCCATGAGGAGAGGGAGAGAATAAAAATCTAGAAATGATGGAAGAACTTCGCAAATTATTTATTATAAAGGATGGAAGAACTTACCGAATTTATTACGAATGATGGTAGGCCTATGTAAACGTATTTGCTATGTAGGAATTAAAGCTATATAACAGACCGCTGTAGGCTAACAAAAATAGAATAGGTAAGTAAACTCCATCAAGTCCCGTTAATCAGATTTCCCACTCAGCAAGTAAAAGATTGAAGCCAATTCCTCCTACCCGGTCAGATAGCGATCTATCAGAGATCACGACCGCAACTTTGAATACAATCATTTACACCAATTTCCAATTACCTCCAAACTGTTCCAATTATACAAAATTATAATTCTCCCAACCGCTTGCTAATTTGATCTGGTCTTTCTCTCTCCCGGGAATTTTAATTCCCTCGGTTTTATAAGTTTATTTGTTGAATAAAAGATCACAACTAATTTGATAGATATTTAGTTATTTCCGCCTTCCTCCAATGCGCCTTTGCATCTTTAGAGAAAAATATTCTTTTTGATCCTTTTTAGAGATACGTCTCTTTTTATCATTGGATATTAGGAATCCTTGGATATGGTAGCGTGGCCGATAGGTCTAAGGCTCTGGTTTAAGGCCCCAATCTCTTCGGAGGCATGTGTTCGAATCCCACCACTGTCACTTACAATGAAAGCAGTCGCTAACTACCCACTATAATTATCATGGCTTATACCACTTGTACTTTGTATAAGTTTAAAAATGGAAGCTTTGTAAAATGAACATATTGTTTTAAACGATTACTACCAAAATTGGATACATACTGATCAACTAGGTGACTACTTTATTTCCATTAGAGGATTGTGTAGACCCAACAAGTAGATGAAAGCGTGATTTTGAAGAAAGTTTTATAACATAAATGGAGGAAATTCATTGATCGGTTGATGCAACGCCCTTGTTTTTGTTTTGATGTTAAGCAGCAAGATATATATATCTTTATATACATATGTGGGAAGTTTAAAAGAAATTATTTATTTCCTCAGACCGACATATTACGCATGTCTGCCTTGGATTTACATAAAACAATCTGCCACACTGCATAGTACCATCAGTGATAATAGCAACAACAAAGCCTTTATTAGGGTCCCTCGTCCCATACAGAATTCTCCTAGATGGGTAAGCAGAAGTAATACAACAGTTATCTACAGAAAGTGGAGAATAACATCAATCTTTCCTCACGCTGGGTCTCTCTTCTGTGTTACGCCTTTTTAACTGTGCTATTCTCCAGAATTTGTAAAAGTCAAAACATTGGTCCTGCTTTACAACACTTTTCCCAATAAAGCATATAGATAATTGTTTTCATAATCAATCTTCCGGCGGAGAATTCTATCAGTGATAACAATCTGTCACTGATATAAATAATAATTTACCAAAATACAACAAGAATTGATTATGATGGACTGCAGGCACAATTTCCGCAACTCTCAATTTATCACAAATCACAGAAAATTTAGAAGCTTTTTAAAATTCATCAAAGCAGTGCAAGATTCAAGATGCTTCTGTGGATGTGAGGAACAAACTTCTATTCATCTGCTGCTAAATTGCCCCGTCTTCCAAGAGTATAGAATAAACAATGGACTAAATGTATCAAACCCGTATGAACTAATTTCAACAAAAGACAAATATATAAAATTCAACTCATTTTGCTGATTTATTTTGAATTAAAAAAAAAAACTACAGATAAATTCCATTGGAACGCTTTTATTTAGAAATTAATTCTTTTTAGTATTGTTTTAATTGAATAATTCTCTAATATCTAGCATATTTTCATTCTAAAATATTCATTAAAACTTTCTTAAATCTATAAAATTATTTTTCTTTAATACACACAATACTTTGCAATTCGATATTATTTAACTAAATTTGCATATCAATCATTTGTACATATATCAATTGTGTTGATATTTTTTTCTCTTTTCATCTAACTTGCATACTAATTCTGTACATATTTCAAATATCTTTCTTTCTTTTCTTTCAAAATTTTGTTTATCTATAAAATGCAAGTGTCCCTAGGGGGACATAGCGCTCTAAGTCGAAATAAAAAAATATAAAAAAGACTTTAGGCGTTCCAGCTGCCGTTATAGTTGATGAGAATTCTCAAAAGGCCAAGTTGTAGGAAACATTAAGATTGTGTAGATGATACCAAATATTTTTTATCAATATCATTTAATGAACGTCCAAAAGATCGTCAAACCTGCAACGGATAAATTCTTCGACGTTTATATCATAATCAATTAGTCAGAGCATTAGCCTATCACATATGCAACTCTAAACTACAAACCCTAACTTGTCTGTGAACGCGCATTTAGATTTTTAAAATAAAAATAAACCCACTTAAAAACCCATTAGGAAATAGGTAATGGCATTTAAGCTGGGAAGTAGATAGGAGTGGGAACTTCACACCACATGGTAGCGATCAGTTATTACAGAACACTAATATTTGAATATTATATAAACTTTCGACATTTTAAATGTAAAATTTATATACACACACACTCTTCAAAAATACTTTATAATTTAAAAATAACTCTATCAATTTTAATTATTTTAAAATGTTAAATATTTTACTCTTTAAAGGCATCGACCATCTATATATTTTGAATATTCATTTTATTTAAATACTTATACTAATATATTTTCGATTAATTTATTTATATTCGATATTATATATTTTATTAAATAATTAATGTTTACATATATGCGGTATCAATTGCAAGTTTTATATAAGCATTTTTAACAACTCTAAATTTAATATATGACTATATAAATATAAAATGCGTACCTGTGGACCGTAAAAGAAGAATAAGTTAACTATATTAAAAACTTTTGCATAAAGGTTTAGAAAAGATTTTACAATTTAACAACAATATTTTACGCTTTAAGATTTTACAATTTAATAACAACCTTTTCATTTTAAGCGCTATTTTTCGATTTTATTTGAAATTTAAAAAAATAAATTATAGATATTTTTATAGTTTTAATATAAATACTTTTACTTTATTTGTAAGTACTTTTTTTGACATTTTATATCCGTTATAATTGAGAAAAAGGAATATTGCATTTGAAATTTCTCTCAAACTGTCAGATCCTTTTTACACAAAGGTACTAATATAAAACTAAATTAATTTTTAAAATTTTCAAATAAATGATTTAAAAAATTTAAAACGAAAAAGGCATATCCTGACCACTCGCATTGAGCATTTTAGATGACAGAGCTCCATCTCGCGGAACAAAAATCAACTAAACGTTGAACGCTTCACAATTTGCCTCCTTGCGCAGGGGCCATGCTAATCTTCTCTGTATCGTTCCAATTTTAGTATATGTACCGCCGAACAAGCGTGTACTAAACGTTGATTTAACTTGCTCCATGATATTTGGCCAACCATTTTATGTGCAGACAAAAAAGAGTATATTTCCAGGATAGAACTCTCCAATCGTCTATGTCTAAGCGAAAGTAGCATCTCTAAGTCAGAGTAATTGGCTGGTTAAGGTCACGTGGCAGTAAAAGACCAATAAGAACAAGAATAAACAAATCGGATACATATTTATACCTAACTACATATACCACTATAAGACGAATATTATAGAGTTGATAAGAAGGCTTATGCATGTTCTGTAACTCATTCATTCAGTTGAGGTATTTAAATTACCAAAGTAAAAAAAAAAAATATATATATATATATATTTTTTTTTTTAATAAACCAATAAACTCTAAGGAGCCTAATGTTTCCTAATCTTAATTCCTTAAAGTATTTTGTTTCTCTAAATATCAGCGCCTACTAGGCATTGAGATTAAAATCAAGACTTTTCAACACTGAACTTTTATAAATCAGTTTTGCACAGTTTATACGGGTGGAACAGGTGGAAGGTACCCCCGATACAAGTTCCCGAAGGAACTCAAGAAAATTGTCTAAATACAATTTGTATTCTAGATATACTATATACACCATTTTTATACTAATCGAACCCCAACAGTAACAAAACGGGATTCCGATAACTTGTAAATGCAAAATTGTTGACTTTGCTTAGACCTTTTAAAGACACCGATTCCAAGAAGATTGATCAAACAATATATTTATTGATTAATAAGAGAGAGAACAAAAAAAAGAGAAATTCATAACATAGTAAACAAAGTTAAATTAATCTTCTTATGTTTAGCGACTTTTTACTTGTGATCTTACACACCCACTCTGTGGGAACAGTTAATTAATTAAACTTAATATATATATATATATATATATAACACAACAAAAAAAGTCGAACTGCTTTCTATATGTGTAGACCTGTACAGTATGAGACAGTCACTAGCTACTCACTATGAATATCATGACTAGGTATTCTCGAGTAAATTAAAAATATGCAAGATAATATTGGCTCATAAAAACTGCTTATAATTTTGTTTTTAAGTTGTTTTTTAACAGATTATTTCTTAAAAAATCTTCAAAGCACAAGTCAATAACAGACATTTGTTTGGTATATGGGTGAAAAATTCCATTACAAATAAATAAAGCTATTTGGGTGAAGTTATCCCCTCGATCTGTTGACATATCAATGTTCAAGACATTTTGGCGAGTGGTGAATATATAGGACCTCTTACATTGTCACATTTTTGTGTGTTTTATAAAAATTTATTTTATAATCTTATTATTCAATATAATTATGTTATCACATTTACATAGTGTACAGAGATATTTATATATCTATATTAATAAAATGGAAATTTCATAAGTGGACATCACTAAAAACTTTCGTTACAATGCATCAATTTCAACCAAATTTTCAACATTTATGTAAAACGAGATGGAGCAGGTTTTGCTTAACATCAAAATATATTTCCTAACATTAACATGCGTAACTTCGCTGTTATCGATTAAATACAAAAAAAAAATCAACAGAGTTAATTTTATTTATATATAAATACAAAATTAAATTTCAACAGAGTTATTTTTTTCACATACTAGCTAATAATCTCAATCTAAAAAATATTCAAAACAAGAAATTTTAAGATAACACCATATGTAAAACAGTCGGCCAAGAAAACAACAACGATATTACATCTTTCTCACATATTCACACACAATCTTGATTAATAATTAAAACTAATCTTTAACATTGTTTATTATACTTCAATTTTTATTTCTACATTTGTTTTTAAATACCCAATTGTTTTATCATGTTTCTAATTTCGCCTAACAAATATACAAATTTATAGTGACCAACATATGCAAATTTTATCTTTGTTTTTATTTAACTTGATATCGTAAACATAACATCCATTGTAAGCATTTTTCTGTTCACCTTCCGTGGTTTCTCTTTTCTCTGATAGTTTTTAGGTGTAGTATATTTTCTTATTACTAGACTACAAACATTCCCCCGAGAAAAACCTGGGCGAAGCCGGGTACATCCGCTAGTTATATATTAAAAACAAAAAAGGCATATCTTGATCACTCACATGAGCATTTTTAGATAGCAGAGCGCCATCTAGTGAAATGAAAATCAACTAAACTTAACTTGTTCCGTGATATTTGGCCAACTCATTTCTTCATAAATCATGAAAATCCTACCACGATTGCGTTTTATCAAGAAAATGGGTTGGCCAAATATCACGGAACAAGTTACGGAAC